TTCCTTGAAGACCTACTACGGCCGCGTCTCAGTGCCTGTATCCAGCCTTCCCCTCTCTGGTTGGAGAAAAACCATGCTTGGCTACTGGTACCCAAGAAACTTTGGGCAATTTTTCCTGGACTTCCCTCAAGCTCCCCTGCCCATGCCAGAAGAGAAAACATCCTCACCTTGCTTCCTTACATATCCCCACACTTTGCCCAGATGAAAGAGAGGCATCTCTTGTGCGTTTGCTGACTGCCCAGTGATGGTTCATTCCCAGGCTGAGATTATTCTAGGAGATGCTTATGGTTTAGGGACAGTTTATTAACAGCTTAGATAAGGGATGCTGCTTGGCCTACACCTCTACCAGGCGAGCTGGCTTTTTGCTTGAGCTGAGGCCTGCAGCCGCTTGCAAAAGGGAAGTTTCTGTCTCTTGGACCCAGGACAGATGGAGTCAGCATAGTCTGGCTGAGTGGGACACACCAGCCTGAAGAGAACAGTGTGGATGTCTGTTTGCCCTGCAGTTCTGCTCATGGAAATGCAGCCTCGCTAATTGTGGGCCAGTTTTCAGATTGTCTGATCATCCCTTCACGTGGAAAATGTCTCCGGGTTTGTTCATCTGGTGACCGGGCAGTTATTACAGGAAACTGGTCCCTCTTCTATGTCCAGATTCTCCCCATGCTACAACAGATGTACGTATCCTCTGCTTTTTGTAGTGATTACAATAACCTTTTTGTGCTGTCTCCTCTTTCCCTCTTATTGGTCCCCTGCCTTCATTAAATCTATGCCCAATTCTCCTGGCTTTCTGAAAATGAGCAAATGGCTGTGTAAACTACTCTGGCATCTTATCCTGGCTGCATCCACAGTCCCATCTTGAATAATAGACAGCAAGTGCTTAGAAGTCAGTACAGAAAGAGGGTGTGATGAAGGGAACTACTTGATAAGTTCCCGCAATCTGTGTTCTTCCCAACAGCTGCAGGTGCTTATCCCAGAATGCTTGTATCCCTCCCGGTTGTAAGAGGATCAAGGGATGCAGATACATGGAGGTCACATGCTGAGGGAGGATGTACAGGACGTTGTTCTATTTCTCAGTATTCAGTCTTAATTATCAAAATAGTAGTGGATATTTTGCATTGTCTCATTTGACACAAGGAAGGAAAGAGGAGAACAACCCTTTTTATAGTCAGAACAAAAGTGATGGCCACAGTGAGCAGCAAGGTCTCTGCTGCCTGTGAACCTTTGGTACAGTGTGTAATTAAAGAGGTGATTACACATGGATGGTGCATTGATAGCACCTGAGCCTGCAGGAAGCTTGGCACACGCAGCAAGACAATAATGCTGGTATGCAATTAACAAGCATTTAGCGAGCATTCAATCCTGGTTTGTTTCTCAGCTAATTTCCTCCTTCATTGTAAGAGAGGTTATGGACACTGCATAAACTGGTTCGAGTACCTGCAGCTGCAGAGGTAAATGAGCATTCAGTCAGAGCAGGGCTCCCCACTCAGAATGTCTGCCAGCACAAAGAGCATGAAAATCAAGGAACCGTCACTGTGTACATTCTGTATTTGACAGGCGTAGAAGGCTCCGTACAGCTCTTTTAAAATATTCCACATATTATTTATGAAATGGTAAGAGAGAGAATAGCAGAGGTTTTAAGGTAAGTCTTGCATGACCTAGATAGAAAAAGAAAAAAGTCCATTATTTACTTGGAAGGCAGACCTGCAGAGGCCTAGACGCTAACCCTGGATCTGGGCTGCCCCTCACAGTCTGGGAACCCCTGAGAATTGATGCTGCTCCACACAGAAAGAACCCTCAACATAGAAACCTCCTATGTAAAGGGAGGCAGATTCAAGCCCAGCCCTGGCATGCAAGTGTCCTTTGCGCTGCTGTTGCTCTTTGGGGACCCATTCCAACATGAGAGCCACCCACCTTCAATTGGGCACATTACACCCATAAGAAGGGTTATGATCTTTCCTCCCAGTTAGAACTAGGCCTCAGTGGGATGGTGCTTACTCTCAAGTAAGTGTTCCTAGTAGCCATATGTCCTCTTTTGCAGAAGACAGTGGTCTATCTGAAGAGCAGCCCGCGGACCACCTGGTATTAGAAGAGCTCTGCTCTCCAAGTATGGTCTGAAGAAGTTGTCCACTGACAGCTAGTGCCGGACAGCAGAATGAACAGGCAGGCATTATACCTATAATATACTAGGAACAAGTATATTATATTTGCTCCTCTGGATTTGCAGCTGGATGATGGCCTTGGCATTGGAGAAAGCTACTGCACATTACCATCATGTGGATCAACTGGCCCGTCTGCTACATTCCAGATGTTGATGCCAGCACTCCTATCAGCCCCAGCCAGTATGGCCAATGTTGAAGAATGCGGTGCATTGTAAGCCAAAATATTTGGAGGACACCAGTTTGGGAAGACTGTCACAGACATTGCATTTAAGGGCACTTCTAATATGAAATGCCAGAAAGTAAGACCAAAAAGGGCCCCATTCTTCTTGTTGCTTTATGATATTACCTGTTATTTTTTACCTACTTCATCATGGAGACATTTAGTCTGTGAGAAATCTGATCTTTATAGCTAATCTCAAGGTAGCTGGAAGTAATTTTAGCTATTTAGTCGTAATGAAAAGGCACTCTGTATGCACAAGCAGCAGTTTATTGTTAATTCATATATTCTCAGAATGAGCCCTGGCATAGAAAAGAGCATAACACCTGGAGAAAGTAATCCCTGAGTTTACTATTATGGCATGAAACTGCATTCACCATCCCATCCCATATGAGAAATGACTCAAGGGTACAAATTCCCCTAGACTGGTCAGAGCTCTTGGACCATCTACCTCAGCACTAACTGTGAAAGCTCTTTGGGCTTTTATAGGAGTCATCCCCAGCCCTGTGACCTTTTCTGAGCACTGACAACCCTCATCTTTACATCATACAGTGCTTTTTCCCTGAACCCTGACATAGCCAAGGAGATTGCCATTTGAGAGCTACAAACCTGTGAGCTGCACTTTCTCCTGTCATCAAGTTTTTTATCTCCTAAGGTCTTTCCACCTCAAATATGAAACAAATTGGAAATGTTCGTAAATTTTTGGCAAACCAAACTTAATTCCCATCTCTCTGCACCGGTACAGGGAAAGGACCATGTGCACTGGATGGGCTCTACCAGAAGAGTGGAGAGGTAAGGCTAAATACTTTCACAGTGCCCAAAAGCTAGGCTAGTTTATTGGAACCATGCCAGGCCCCTACATATAGCTTGAGCTTGTTAGAAAAAGCGCAGGAGATACTTGCCTTGAAGTGGCTTCCCCCAATTACATTTCTCACAGCCTTTGCTGTGAGAAACAGTTTACTTTAATGTAGCAGCTTCTCCCACCTGCCTCACAGGAAGGGGTGTTAGCCTGAGCTGGCAGAGAGACTTCTAGAAAACCTTTAGCTGGATAGTTTGCCTTTTGGCTTTGCGCTTAGAACCAGGAGAGGGCATGGATATAAGCAAATCAATCAGTGCCCCATCACCACATCCATTGTATCAGGAAGCACTGCAGCTGTTGGAGGGACATGTGTGAGCTTTCTTTTTGCTTGTTTATTGAAAACTGGCATTCATGTTTCATCAATACATGTCTTGTATATTCCATATTCCAGAGTTTCCTTGGACCTGAAATGGAGGTGCCTTGGCTGTGGCAATACACTGTGTTTTACCTGCCTGCTATATTAAACATGAGGAGACTGTCAGAAAAAAGTTGTGGCTACCTTAATTAACCACAAGCATAGCAACATGCACAGGAATTCAAAGCCAGGTTTTTAACAGCTAAGCACTCAAAGCCCTTTGCCTAAAATCATGGATTAATCCATCTTGGTTCCTCCTACATTCAATTTCATTCACTCAGTTCGTTTCACGCCAGAGATGAAGTTTGTGGATTTTGCTCAACTCGTATCAAAAACCAAAAAAGAAATGAAATCGTCATCTGTCCCAAGTTCCCATTTTGATCTTTGTTTAAGTGACTTCCTGTGTCTCACCGCAAGGCAATGTGGGAACAGGCCCCAAACGCATAGAAGCAGGCAGTGAGACAATTCAGGATGGAGAACAAACAAAAAGAAGCCTCGTTGTTACTGTCATCTGCTGTCACCTAAAAGCTGTGAATTGCCGTTCTCTTTACCTGAAAGAGTTCCTGTCACATTCATCATATTCAGTAGCGAGTGATTGTGATATCGCTGAGGTAAATCAAGCAGGAGAAGGCTGATTACTGACTGTAAAGGAGAGGGCAGGCAATTCTGTGGAGTGAGCTGTGGTGGGAAGGAGATAGATTAAGAGCACATGACAGTTAAATGGTAGTTTTGAACTAGACTCTGCAGATTTTCTGACTTCATTCCTGGTTACTAAAGGAAGATGCAGAATGAGTCTTTAAGAAAAGCACAATAATAGTTCTCAAAGGACCGCACAAATCACCTGCTCTTCTTTGCCTAAAAGAGTAAATATTTCCCAGCAAACACTGGGGGAAGTGGTGGGCTTGGAAGAAGGTAAATTGGCTTGCTTGTTAAAATGTAATATAATGCTACTGTGTCTCATACTTCATACTTGCATACTTTGGTCTTGGTAGTTTTCTTTTTTATGATGGAATGATTCCATCTGTGTATAAAAATGCACAAAGATTATTCGTAATATCAGAAACCACACCAACATGTAAAAGAGATATTGATTTTATTTTCTCATAGTTTAAGCCAATTTCAGAATTCTTTGAGATCTCCATCCAAATATTATGCATGTGCCTTTGGAATGAAGCCTAACTGAATTCAGCAGGATAATTTCAAGGAAGTATGCTAAGGAATGAAGTCCAAGAGTGAAACATGGTAGGATATTGAGCTTTTGGAATATGCAGAGCTGGCAACAATGTGCTTGTGTTTCCGAAGCATTCATTTGTGAAGACAGTCATTACATCTTCAGTTTACAGAAGTGGAAAACAGGTCAGCCAGGAATGGTCTCTCCTCTTCGGGACTGTAGAGACGTGCTGCTGGGATTGCCTATGCTGCTGTGCTAGCACTGAACTGCCTGTAGTGGAAGAGACTTTTACTGTCCAGTTTTCCAGAATGCTTGATCGCTTCAGTGAAGAGCTTTGCCACCTGAAAACAGAAAATCCAAGCGCTCTTGTTCCCAAACCATTTTCAAGGATTCATTTAGTAAAGCAGCCTGATGATGATTAGACACATTACAGTATATCTAGACCTCATCTGTGGGCTATTTTATGCAATTCTATCCATTTTAAAAGAAACCTATCTCAGCAGCAATTCTACTGTTGATGCAAAAGCAGACTTCTTTCTTATTTAGATTCACATCCCAGTCACCAATACTGGGGTTGAGGGATGGGGAGGGTGGCTTTCTTTGCTGTACTTCATCATTTACAACTAATTCACAAGAAGGGCTCAGGTTGGGTTAAATCTAGTCAGTGTAACAAAACATTTTCCCAATGGTTCAACCAGATACAGAAGGAAGATGATGATGGATGGATGATAGATGTGTATAACTTGTATGTATATACTTACACGACAGCCTTCTAAAAATAGTATCTTTATGAATGAGTCTTAATATGCCCTGCTTCTGCCATATCTGTTATGCCTAAGCTCAAGATGCTCCAAATGGAGAAAAGGTGGAGATGTAGCCCTGCATGAGCCCACAGAACTCTGTTGCCACCCTCATTCTTTCTCTTCCTGCTCCTTTTGAAGATTATGAAGGTGGAATTGTGAAGTGAACAGATACCTAATTAGCAATCCATTGTCCAATGCCAGTCTCCAGGTGAGGCACAGTAAATGGTTCTCCTATGCTTTTAGTCATAAAGAGAAATGTTCTGTAATGCTTGATTAAGTGTATGAAGCAGAGGCTTTCCTTCCATTCATGTAGTGTTTTCTACATCTCTTTCTGTAAACTGTGCCAACATATTTCAAGCAAACGATCATACAGGACGCCTCTCTTTTGGATTTTATGTATAACCTGCAGTGTACATGCATGAATGGAATGGTGGCACTTACCTCTAGACAGTGACAATCACTTTCAAAAGAGTAAAAGTATGTGGAAGGGAAAACAAAACATGCTTTGAGTCCCCACTGCCTGCTTCAAAGCATCCTTTCTAGAAACAAGGCTGCTGTCACAGATGCTGCAGGCAGTGTTTGTCACATTCACTCATTGAAAGAAAAGCTCCCCTCTCCCTGTTTTTAGGGGATGCTTACACACATGATTGGCTGCAGTGGGCTGCATAGGAACCAGAGACCTCCTTCATACAGCAGACACTCACTCTACGATAGAGACATGACACCAGCAAGAACAGCGTTCATATGACCAAAATAAATGAACAGCTAAGTAAAGGAGTACATGGGGTGCATTACTAAGGTGAGTTGCAGTACAGAGTAGTCATCCTTTTAACAGAAGGGCTTTCCCCCCAGATATTTGCATACTATATTTACCAATACTGGAAGTTCTCCAAACCCAGACTCATAAATTAACTTCAGGGACTCATAAAACCTTCTTGAAAACAAAAGGTAGATTTATGCACCCAGAATTTCTTCTCCAGCTCAGATCAGAAGTAAGCCAGGGAAGAATGCCAAGCCTTAATACTCATCATAACCAGACCCCTGATTCCCCTTCCCTATCCCCCCCTTTTTTCAAGCAGTGATGGCATTTCAGGAAAGGGAGAGGTTTTCTCCCTTTTCTCTCACATTCCATCACTCTGAAGCATTAACAAGCAGCAAACCATGGAGCAAAAGCCTAGGGGAGCGTGAGGGATGTAGTTTTCCCAAAGAGTTCAGGATCATGTCAAGGAAAAGGGAATTCTCCTTCCTCTTTTGCCTCTGCTGTCATGTCTTCACGCAGATTGATCTTCTTCAGCAACCATGACCTGATAAATGAGCTGGAGTAACCTGTTGACCATGCCATGCATGCCAGTTAGATGTCCCTAATCACCTTGCTGGTACAGTTTGCTATTTCATCTGAACCCAGGTGGCATGGCTTGTTTGAGTGGGTGGCAATCCTCCAATAACCCATGGGCTGTTGCTGGGCTTATTTTTCTCACTGAGATCATATGAACTAGCCCATTATCTTGCTCTAGTCCTTAGGCCAGGACCATCACCCACATATTGCAGACAGGAGTCTGAGGTTCAGGAAGTGGTGGTCTTGCCTGAACTCACAGGACAGATGAGATCTGAACCAGGAACCCCCAGGTCACAGCATAATGCCTCATCCCTACATCAACTCTTGGATATATGAATTTGCAGAAAACCAGCAACATGACTTCCATTAAAGAATCTGCCTCAGAATGATAGTAGTGACACAAAAGAGCCACAAAATTGGCTATGAAGTAAAATATAGATGACAGAAAATGTCTTGTATCAATGAGCCTGCTGCAGTTAAAAACAGTTGACTGTCAAACATTAATTAAAGCTTTAAGTTAGGCCTTAACCCCAGACATGCTAAAAATTGATTCAGCGCTATGGCAGCAGAGCTACCTGCAAATTAGTGAGGAGAGAGATTCCGCTGTCAACAGCTGTCCTGCGGATCAGGTAATTGTCATGGACAAACTTTGTGTTGTTATTGGGGAGGTTAATTACCAAGTCTATGCTTCCATCTTTTATGAGCCTGGAATGAAACACACAAGAAGTTAGCACAAAAATAAAAACAACAAAGTCTCTTAAATAAAAAGGCAATAATGTTTCCTGCTCCCACAATGTTCCATCAACACAAGTCTTTTTACTCAGTAGGCAATTTCCTCGATCTCCAGAGTGATATCCAAAGGCATTAAAGCACCTTGAAGCTACCTGCTTACAATCCTGATCAAGATGTTTGAAGTTAAAAGCAAACAGAATGAGACATAAGCACAGTGGTGGGTTAAAGTACAGGAAGAATGTGTTGAACATGCTGGCCCACAGCCTGTCTGGCACAGGACTGTGCTTCAGCTGCAGTCACTAAGAGCACTGCAGCAGCTTAAGCTAAAACTAATCCAGCTGATCAGAACGGGAGGGAACTGAAGAAGCTACAGTTCCTGCAAAGCGAACAGGAGTTGCGGGATTATGCTGATCCTGCTGGTCCTCATCCCCTGCAAGCTTTATGCAGCGCTTCACACCACATGATAACATGGGACATTAGATGAGGCTGGGGACTTAAGGCACAGATTAGAGGAGTCACCCCCCTAGAAGTCAAGGGGTTCCTCAGGGCATTGGATGTTACAAAGGCACCAGGCCCTGATGGGCTACACCCGAGAGTACTTTGAGAGTTGGCAGGGGCTCTCTCACGCCCACTAGCCTCCATTTTTGAGACATCATGGAGAACAGGTGAAGTTCCAGAGGACTGCAGGGTGGTGTCAGTGGTCCCAATTTTCAAAAAGGGTAGTAGATAGGACATGGGGAATTACAGACCAGTTAGCCTCATGTCCATTGTAGGAAAAACAATGGAAAGGCTCATAATAGTGAGATATTTAGTGATGCTAGATAGGAAAGGGAGGCTGGCGGCCACACAACATGATTTCCCAATAACAGGTCCTGCCAGACAAACCTTGTGGAATTCTACGACAAGGTTTCAAGATGGCTAGATGGAGGGGATGCAGTGGATGTGGTTCACCTGGATTTCAGCAAGGCCGTTGACAAAGTGCCCCATGATATCCTGGTTGAGAAACTGAGGAGTTTTGAGACAGACCAATGCACTGTCTGATGGATTAGGGCATGGTTGACTGACCGAAAGCAGAGGGTACCCATTAGTGGCGAACCAAAGGATGGCGGCCAGTGACAAGTGGGGTCCCCCAGGGCTCTGTCTTGGGACGGATCCTGTTTAATCTTTTCATTAACAACATGGAAGAAGGGGTGAACAGTCTGCTGATCAAATTCACAGATTATACTAAAATGGGGGCAGTGGCCACAACTGAGAAGCAGTCACTCAGGATTCAAAAGGATCTGGACAGACTATGGAAGTGGGCAGGACACAACAGGATGGTGTTCACTGTGGATAAGTGCAAGGTCTTGCACTTGGGGCATAGGAATGGGTGTCACATGTACAGGTTAGGAGACAAGTGGCTGGAGAGCAGCTCTTTTGAAAGGGACCTCAGGGTGCTGGTTGACTGCAGGCTAAACATGAGTCAGCAATGTAATGCAGTGGTTAAGAGGGCGGATGCCACCCTTGGTTCCATAGCCAGAAGTGTGGCTTCCAGATCAGAGAGGTATTACTACCACTCTGTACAACTCTGGTGAGCCCACAACTGGAGTATTGTGTTCAGTTCTGGGCCCCTTGTTGCAGGAAGGATATAGCCAGGTTAGAGTCAGTGCAGCGTAGGGCCACAAGGTTGGCCGGTTTGTAGGGGATGCCATATGAGGCAAGACTGAGGGAACTGGGTCTCTTCAGCCTGGAGAAGAGGAGACTCAGAGTGGATCTGTTGGGGACATACAGGTATGTGAGGGGATGTCACACAGAGGTGGGTAGAGACCTGTTCTCTCCTGCAGAGGAAGGCAAGACACACTCCAACAGAGCAAAGCTCTGGGAACCAAGGTTCCATTTGGATGCCAGGAAATACTTCATGACAGTTAGGACCCCAAGGGTATGGAATGTGCTTCCACGGGAGGTGATTGAGGCCACATCAGTGAGGGTGTTCAAGGATAGGCTAGACATGCACATGGTAGGCATGTCATGACTTAAGTCGGCTAGAGCCGGGGGTCAAACTAGATGGCCCGGGAGGCACCTTCTGACTCGCTCTGTTTCTATATTTCTATTCCACACAATGGCTACAATGCACCCATTTTAAAATAGCAGTACCTTGCCCCTTTTCTGCCCTAGATGAGAGATGTTCTGATATAACACATGTTCTTAATGAATGAGAGCAAGTTCAGATGATATTCCAGCATGCTGACCAACTTGCACAAACAACTGCTCCCATGTCAAGAGGGAACTCACACAAGAATGACTCCTGCCTTCCAGAAAGAGGCAGTCCTCAAAGTGTGAGAAGGAAGAGATGGCATGGCTTTGCTCTTCCCTGCTATACAGTGCACGTCAACAGAATGTGCACCTGGGCAGTCAAGTGAGCCAGGTGGGCTATCATCAGAATCAGCTTTTAGGCATCAAGCAGAAGGCAATTTTCTAGCTGGAAGAAAGACATGGGATCCAGACAAGACATGTCCAGAGGTCCCAGATTATTTTCCCACTGTAAATTTGTTGAAACTCTTACTGTCTGACAGGAAAGAATGTAGGGTCTGCATTTCCCTGGGATGGCCATGACACTGGAGATGCTGGAATGCCATTGGCACTGAGCCAGTTCGCAGTTTCTCCTGTAGCATACAGCTGCATAGGAACAAAAGGGTACCTTCATTTAACAAGCTGTTTTGCATGGTGCTGCTCTTGGCCTCAGAGCTCAGCCACTCTCCCCTCTTAAGGGGGCTTGCATGCCGTGCAAGTACCCATCAGCTCATCAGACCATTTTTGCAGAAGCAGACAGCCACCCTTCCCTGCTGGCTACCCTTCTGCTGCCCTGGTAATGGCCTCATTCTGCTGCTGCAGCAGAAGGATTCCTTCCCTGGCTGCCATGCTCTGCTTCCCATTCTCAGCACCACAGAAGCCATCCCTGAACAATACATGGAACGATGCTTGTCGCAGCATGGGAAACATTTTTATTTACATATCATGGCCTCTTATTTATTACTTATTTATTTGGAATTTTTGTATGCCGTCCCATTCACATAAGCCTCGGGATGGCTTCCAACATAATAAATAAACAATCATATAAATAGATACATATAAAACCTGGATTCACCCTGACTAAAAATTTAAAAAACCAATAAATAATATTAACAATGATCAAAATACTGTTTAAATAAAAAGGACTTGGCCTGGCGCCGAAAAACAAATAACGATGGCACCAGGCAGACACCTCTGGGGAGCGCATTCCATAAGTGGGGCACCACCACAGAGAAAGCCCTTCTCCTGGTACTCACCCTCCTAATATCTTTCACAGAGGGTTCCCGGAGGAGGGCCTCTGCCACCGATCTCAAGAGGCGGGAGGGCAAATATGGAAGCAGGCATTCCTTTAGGAAACCAGGTCCCAAGCTGTTAAGGGCTTTGTAGGTGATAACCAGCACCTTGAATTGGGCCCGGACTTCGATGGGGAGCCAGTGAAGTTGGTAGAGGACTGGGGTTATGTGAGAATAACGCCCAGTCCCCAACAGCAACCTGGCTGCTCTATTTTGCATCATCTGAAGTATCCATACTGTCTTCAAGGGCAGCCCCACGTAGAGCGAATTATAGGAGTCCAATCGGGAAGTAACCAATGCATGTGTCACTCTCGCCAGGCAATCGTCCTCCAGGTAGGGGCGCAGCTGATGGATCAACCAAAGCTGAAGGAAAGTGCTCCTCACCACCACAGTCACTTGAACTTCCAAAGACAGCTCTGGGTCGAGGAGGATTCCCAAGCCGCGGACCCTGTCCTTTAAGGGGAGTGCAACTCCATTCAGGACAAGGTCCAAGTCACCTACCCTGGAGCCCGAACCACCCACCAACAGAACCTCCATCTTGTCTGGATTGAGCTTCAGTTTATTGGCCCTCATCCAGCCCATTACCTCAGCCAGGCACCGGTTCAGTACAGCCACTGCCTCACCTGGATTGGTTGAAAAAGAGAGGTAGAGCTGGGTATCATCAGTGTACTGATGATTCCGCAGCCCAAACCTCCTGATGACCTCTCCCAGCGGTTTCATGTAAATGTTGAACAGCAACGGGGACAAAATGGACCCCTGTGGTACTCCATGGTATAGCTGCCATGGTGCAGAGCCATAGTCCCCCATCACCACCTTCTGGAATCAGCCGTCGAGGTAGGAGTGGAACCATTGCCAAGCAGTGCCTCCAACCCCCAGTCTTGTTAGCCTATCCAGAAGGATACCATGGTCGATGGTATCGAAAGCCGCTGAGAGGTCCAGGAGGACCAACAGGGACGCACTCCCCCTGTCTCTCTCCCTGCACAGGTCATCATACAGGGCGACCAAGGCAGATTCAGTACCATACCTGGGTCAGAAGCTGGACCGAAATGGGTCCAGATAATCAGTCTCATCCAAGAGTGCTTGGAATTGTCCCGCCACCACCCGTTCTAACACCTTGCCCAGAAATGGGATGTTGGCCACCGGTCTATAATTGGCGGCTATCTCTTGATCCAGGGACGCCTTCTTTAGGACTGGCCGGACTACCGCCTCCTTTAGAGGGGCAGGTACCCGGCTGTCCCTCAGAGAGGCATTGATGACCCCCAGGATCCAGGCACCAATCCCGTGTTTGGCTTTGTTCAGTAGCCACGATGGGCAAGGGTCCAGTGAACAGGAGGTGGGACGTACTTGTCCAAGCACCTTGTCCACATCAACAGACCGCAATAACTGAAACCCATCCATCAATGTCGGACCAGAAGGCAACATTGATACTTCCCCTGAGGGCTCTGAATCACTAGTGGAGTCCAGCTCATGACAAATCTGAGCGTTTTCTCCTTAAAATGCTTGGCAAAGTCGTCACAGTGGGCCGTCGAGGGTGGTACGGGATCTTTCCTAGGGCCTGGGTGTACCAGCCCCTGTACCACCCAAAAGAGCTCCGCTGGACGGCATTGTGAGAAGGCAATGGAAGAGAAGAAGAATTTCTTCTTCGCCGTCCTCACTGCCACAGCATAAGCTCGATAGTGAGCTCGCAAGTGTGTTCAGTCAGATTCATCCCATGATTTTCTCCACCTACACTCTAGACATCTCCCAACCCGCTTCATTGCCCATAGACCAGGTGTATACTAGGATGAACAGGCTCTGCCAGGTAGGAGAGGATGCTTAGGAGTGATCGTGTCAATAGCTCTGGTCATTTCCCCATTCCACAGTTCCACCAGAGCATCAACAGGAGCACCAGCCTTATCAACCGGAAACTCCCCCAGAGCCTTCAGGAATTCATCCGGATCCATCCGGCTCCGAGGGCGGACCAATACTTACAGAGGGAAAGGCCACTATTGAGCTCAAACCTCATGAGGAAGTGATCTGACCATGACAGGGGAGTCAGACACAAATTCTTCACCCTCAGATCCCCCTCTTCCTGCCCCGTCAAGAAAACCAGGTCCAGCGTGTGCCCACATTTGTGGGTCGGGCCTATGACATGTTGAGACAGCCCCATGGCCATCATGGAAGCCATGAAGTCTTGAGCTGCCCCGGTCAGAACAGTCTTGGCATGGAGATTGAAGTCCCCCAGGACCAACATCCTGGGGGTCTTCAACACCAGGTCCAAGACGATCTCCGTCAGCTCAGGCAGGGGGTCTGTTGGGCAGAAGGGTGCACAGTATACCAACAGAATCCCCAATCTGTCAGTCGCCCAACACCAAATAGAGGCACTTTAGACCCAGTCTCGAGAGAAAAAGAAGGCCCCGTGAGGGAGATGGAGGCTCGGTAAATTAAAGCGACCCCCCTCCCCTCCCCTCCGGGCGTGGTCGGTGCTGGACCAGATACCCAGGCGGGCACAGTAAAGAGAGGGACACATCCTGCCCCCTCACCCACCTAGGTCTCTGTTATGCAATCCAGGTTGGCCCCTCATCCACAATTAAGTCGTGGATGAGGGATGTTTTGTTGTGGACTGACCTGGCATTAAACAGCAGCACCGTCAGGCCCGAGGGGCGGTTGATAAGCCTACCCAGAACCCTCTGGCTGGGGGAATAACCAGAAGGGGGAACAGGTGTCAACCATCTGTCCCTCCTTCTATGCCAACATGTTAATCCCCCAATGCCATAAGGACCATTGTCCAAGACCACCCCAATGGTAGCACCCACGCTCTCCCCAGGCAACCTCATAGCAGTAGCCAGGGATGAATCCATTAAAAGAAACTAAGCTAAAACACAATTTAAAAATACACTAAAACCATAAAACCCACCAACCACCCAAATACAAAACCTCCACCGCACAAAGTCTCTGGCCAACCCAGCCCCTGCATGGCCCCGAATGGTCCCAAACGGTGCCGCCGCCCTTAGGCCGTCACCCTTCGCTGGCGGGGCAGGGGGGCAAGGGCGGCCGCAGAGAAACTCTTCTATTCACGATGCTCAAAATGCCTGCAGTAGTAGAAGCTGCCCTCAACTGAACTTTGCAAAGTGCTAGATCTGATCTTTAGCCCATGTACTGTGCACACATCCTCAGGACTAAGACCTGGGAGGAATCATGGGTCTCAAGAACTTATGACTAAACTGGATGTTACCAAGAGCATGTGCCTACTACCCCATGAATCCTGAACTGCTGCTTCCAACCCCTTCCCCAGCCTGGTAGCGTCTACCGAAGTGAAAACAAAAAAGCAGGACACAAAATCATTGCATTGCCAACTCCCTGCCCCTGTTAGTGGGAGCAGTGAAGTGGAGCAGTGGCCAGAAGAGTCAAAACACAATGGCACCTTTTAGTTTGCTAAACATTTATAGGACAGAGAAGGAGACACAGGACTAATCTCCTTTCAGTCTTAGAAAATTAGGCTTCATATATCACAAGTACCTTGCAGGTCAAAACTACGTTAGAAAACAACGCCCAATATGCCTGCCAACAAAGTGTCTGTTCCCCCTCCTTATTTCTAGGTTTGTCTCCTCCATGGAAAGTCTCAGAGGTTTCATACACTAATCAACATACCTTGAAACCTTGATGATGTAGCTGCTTGGCTTCGCCAAGGAATTTTGGACAGAAAGAACACTGAAAGGAAAAAGAAAAGAGAGTGGACATCAACACCATTAAAACTGGAGCTTCAGTATCCCTTTTCCATAAATGTATTAGAAGAGTGGATATTTCACAACACACAGTAAAGCTCTGGTACTATAGTAGGATACGTAGTAAAACTCTGTGTTGGTCTTGGATATCTCCCTCTTCTTAAAAGTGAATGTCAAAGAAAGCTATAAAGGGCATGAGCTTCATTGTAGTTAACAAGTTATTGTAGATTAACAAGTTTCAAAGGCACTGTTTGCCATGAAACTGAAGTCCAAATCTCACCCATAAACTGTATTCCCCAGGGCCTTAACACAGCATGCTGCCTTTCAGGATTTTATAGCCAGGGAGTTCGGATCACTGCAAAATGTCAAATTCAGCAATCAGAGAAATCAAATTTTGTAGTCAGGGCAAATTATGCAATTGGGACAAGCTTTGCTTTGTCATACATTCTGCAGAATGATGTATTTGTTATCCTTTTGCATTTTTGCTTGGGGCTTACAGACAAAGGGGGAGAAAGATCATTTGTATAAAGGCAGAGGTATAAAAGACAACAGGGGTGGGGAATCCTATTCTGCCTGAGAAGTGAATTGCCCATGAGAAGGAGAAAGCACCTACTCCTCGGGAGCCAGCTTTGCTTCATGCCAGTTTCTTCCAGGAAGAAAAAGCATGCAGCGAGTAGCCCATGGCATCACCTGCCCCATGCCTTGTCTCACTGCGAAGGGCATGGGGTGAGAGAAGCACGCGCAGGAAGGGGAATCCCTGCTGTCACCACCAACTCTGAATCAGAAATCAAGCTAGTCTGGTAGATAAAATTAGTCTGTGAGCCCAAAATTCCTTATCTCTGGAACAGAGAGTTGCACTGACTGAAAACCCCATTTTAGCTGCCAAACATTTAGCAGAAACTGACAAAACAAAGGCATCTTTTTCTTTGCCTTTGTGAGAACTATCAACTTCCATTTTGAATAGAAGCTTGAAACTTAAGGTGGCTCAGAAAATGATTTTTTCTGATTTGGAAGCTACAATGTACGCAAACACTTGGAACAAACTCCTACAGAAAAATACAATTCTCCCAGGAATGTTGCCTTCATGAACACCGTATTTTAAACCCAGTGACACCAGAAGGAGAGAAACAGATAAAGTTATCCTCTCACCTGGAGTGCTGTCCAAAGTAACCCAGGAGCCAGTGCTGAAGTGGGCATCAAACAGACAATTCTGGCTACCCACATACAGCACTGTTGCTTGCATCACCTGCTGTGGCAGATGGGCACAGCATGGGCTCCAAATGTTTGCAGCACGGATGGGCGCAATGGACAGTGCAGGTGGAGGCTCGGTGTTTCAGTGAAAGGGGCACACTGGATGAATCCACTTCTTAGAACCATCTGTGGGAGCACGTTTCTGGCATGCAGCAGCTAAGTATTAAGGCCACCTAGGTATAAGACTCCTACAGCCTAGAAGCAGTGTTCTGAAACATATCTTTGCTATACTGCACAAAGTTTAGCAATGGTCATATCTGAGGCATCAGTCAATGACCTTCAAGTGGAAAGTTTTTCTGCATTTTACTCAGCATGACTTCTGACACTCCAGGAGTCAGGATGTCACAAAACCATTTATTTCCCTAGCCAAAATTGTGGATTCTCTGACCCTCACAGAGGTCATGTTGAAAAAGCCTACAGGGTAGAGCTTGGACCTTGTGATGGAAAAAGAAGTCAAGCCACAGCTTCAAGGTCTACAGACACCAGCAAGAGCATCATGGAAAGATGTTTTTGTTCTCTGCACTAAGTGGGAAATACACATATTCAACATGACAGAGTTGGCAGCTTCCCAGCTATGGAATCACTCTGCCTTCTGGTCAGAGGTTTTGGCTTTCACAACAGTATTATAAACTTCCATCAAACATGTATTGAGCATTTGTGACACATAAACAGGCTCTCCTTGAAAAGAAATTACAGCTGTCAACCTTCATCAGAGCTGCCCCAGATGTAAAAACTGAGAGTACCTGAGCAAGATACCGCTTGCTACTAAAAAGCAAAAGGCCTGCTTATTTACTGTAAGTTATCAGAATACTGTTTCAAAATGGATTTTCTAATTTCCTTCAACATATTTCTCACGCTGTACCATTAGCCTGTCAGCACAGTCTCAGTTCATCAGCTGACTTTTATTTTTATGGAACAATGCCAGTTTCATTAATAATAACGGTAGCAGAGGGTTTTGTTCCTGTTACTTTAATTAAGAACTTTACTGAAGGCAGGATACAGTGCAAGTGCTGTCCTAAACTTGCAGAATGTAGGATCGAAGAGGCCTGATCAAAAATCCACACAGATTGACCAGGCAATCTGCCTGTGTGCAGCCCAACTCCACAATGCCCCCTGAAGAGCTGTAAGCCACAAAGAGGGCCGTGGAAGGTACGACAATGTGACTGTGTTTTCTCCTTATGTGATCTCTGCCACATCATTCCCGAGGGGTGATTTGGAAGGGGCTGCAGCACCATCGGGAAGTCTAGGACTTTACAAAGAAGAGGCCAACAGCTGCTTGTGAAACATATGATTAAGTTGGCTTACGATTCTTAAATATGGAGACTACACCAGACATTTTTGTTTTACCTGATCAGGGTTAAAAAGTGGTGCAAACCAGGACTCCCAGGATGCCTAGTTTTGCAGCAGCATCACTGTTTTAGTACCAATGTAATAGCCCTGGAGCCTTCTCTTTAGCAATGTGGTCAGGCCACTTTCTTTTAAAATAATGGCTGCACTGAAGCTGAAATTCTCAACCCCACTTGAGTCCAGAGGACTTATTTCTGAGTAATGTACAGAACTGTACTGTAAATAGGGTATTTAGTCACCTGAATACCATTAAGCTGCCTTGCTTGCCATTTTGGGGTAGAAAGGTGGAGTACGATCAATAAGTAAAACCAATAGTTTTGGTCAACCTCCCAACATTGCACTTACTATATTATTACTCCACCTTTACTCAGTAATGGCATCCAAGAGTGTACAGATGGTGGCTGAAGTTCTATGTTCTGCACTGAAGGTGGAGTAGATGACCTCCAGGGTCCCTTCTAGCTATATGATTCTATCTTACTATAAGGCACATCCCACACCTGTGAGTGGTGAGACACTTTATGGGTGCCCTGGTTCCTCTGGAGCTTTATTGACATTTAATATCTGCTTTATTTACAAATAGGCAGGTTGAGCTGAGATTAACTGCAAAGTTAATGGCTGCCACATCGGGTCTCAAGGAAGACAGCAAACACCCTAAAAATCTAACAGAGCCCCAAACACAACTTTTTATGTCTGTTCTGTTTGCCTCAAACAGCAGTCTTTCCTTTACACGGATACCTGAATCACAAAATCTTTAGCTGGAAAAGACGCTCTATATAGAAAATTCCCCTAGAGATCCTGTTTTGAGAAGCAGTTGGCTATTTACTTCCCATAGCCACATATACAATTAATTCACCTAGCAGACTCTCCTCTCTGCTCTCCACAGCCAGGTAACAACTGTGGAGTCCCTCTATGTACCCTCTGCTTCCTGCCACCCCACAGAACCTCCATGTAAGCCACTTTCTCTCACATGGGATGACTGCATGCAAATATTTGCTTAGTTTTGACTGAAAAGTTGCTAAACGAGGTATGCTGGAGCAGGCTAAGTTGTGGAGGACCTGTCCTGAGGCCAGAGTTTCCTGTGTACCACTAGATAAACCATTTCACAGCTGTTTAATGGCAGGTAGGGCTGCACAAAAATCACAAAGACGAACTTGGCTTATACTCAGAGTGTACTAGTACCAGGTGGTCAGTCTTTACATCCTTTTCTTTGGAGGACCACAACAGTACAAAAGTCAATTTGAACTTTCCACCACTCAAGGAAGAGGGAGCATGTATGCCAAATTCAGAGTCCAGTGTCCTGAACAAAAGATTAGCAAAAACTTGTCTCAATTCAGCCAGGCTCTAAAAATAAAGCATTCCTTGAATGTTCCCAGCATTTTATGATGCTCAGCATTTCTGCATCACAGATGTAAGAGAGATGATCTTCTTCCAACAAGCATTACTAAATAGCCCGATCAGGAAAAGGAATGAAAAGAGCTATTCAACTAATCTTGTTTAATAGAAAATGCAGGGTTCCAGCCAAAGACACTTCATTAGCACTGTAAGTCTTCCCCCATCCCCATCAAAACAGAAACATTGGAAACTTCTGCAGTATAACTGTAGGGCATCACTTTTGCGAGACAGTGCAATACCCTGTCCCCTGCAAGGCACGGTGCTATTCAGGGACAACTAGAATAAATGACCAAGTGTGTCAGGAAATGGGAAGATACAGCCAAGTGTGCTGTCTGACATAACACTTGCCAAATGCCACCAACCCATTGTGATGCACCAAACAAACTCCCTTCCTGCTCCCACTTGGACAGCTCTTATTTGCTTTTTATTATATTTATATCCCCCTTTATAAGGAGCCAAGGCAGCATACATAATCTTCTCTCCACTTCATCCTCACAAGAGCCCTTTGAGTTAGGTTAGGCCTAAAGTCACCCAGTGAGTGAGTGGGGATTAGAATGCAGATCTCCTGAGTCCCTGTCCAATGCCCTAACCATGACACCACACTGGATCTTAGTCAAAGTGCATGGGACCAGCTATACCACTTTGGGATGCTTTCAAGAAGTGACTGGGGGTGGACTAAAGTGGCCAGTAGAGGAGAGGGGAATGGAAATGCTGTTCCATATTAACAAAACTGATTAGTGCGGGTCCACTAGTGGCATCTTTCACCTTGGCACTTGCATACCTTCTCTGTCCCAGAATTGTAATCTCAGAACCTCAGCCAGAAATAGAAATACTTTTTGGGTCTCATCGCTGTTCACTCCATTTGCAGCTTTTCGGAGCAGATAGTGCCCAAACACCTTCTTGAATGGGCATAGAGCTTCAGTACTCAGAAATCTTTCATCCTATTTCTATTGATCAGTATCCTGGCAGAGTTGCAGCTGACAAGATGGTGAATCTTGCCCAAGTTCTACAGAGCTTTCCATTTCTGTTCTAAAATAAGCCTGGATTCTAAAGAAGAAATGAATTGCATCTTGCTGACAATTGGATTCTTCCCCCTTTTCCTTGAGGTCGCCACATCCATACCACCACTGCTGAGTGGTTATACCATGAGAAAAACAATTCAGCGAGTTAATAATGCAGTTGACTTCATACATTGACACTTCTTTCCACATCCCGTGACCTCGTGACTCTTCAAGACCTACACTTTCAGCATGGAAAGCAGATCCAGTGCTCATTAATCACTAGCCAGGTGATTATCCAAAAGGGCATGCAAATTGAGTGGGCATTTATTTGCAGCAGGTCAAGCACAGCACCTTCATAATGATTTGTATTTGGACAGCAGCATCACCTCAGTGGAGCATACCATAACCTACGGCAGAGCCATTCTGTTAAAGGTGCAGCAGAGAGTTGGAGTGGCATGAATTTCTGCCCCATTGCAAAGTGATAAATGACCCCACACCAAGGAACAGGGATATGTCTGAAGAGCTATTTTTATCTTACGGAAATAACAGTTTGCATCAAAGATGGTTGGCAGTATAACACATTTAAAAATGAATTAACTGCCAAGCAGAATTATCAGATTCACAACTCACATGGTCCCCCATGGGAAGGGGATTATTTTAAACCCAGTTTAAATGTGTAATAGAGATATGCCCAGTGACTAGCCAGAGATCACTTAGATGACTTCATGGGTGGGTGAACACACATTTGTACCTTGAACTTTCTCCAGTTCTTTGTCCACACTGCAGGGTGGGGGGATGGATTTAGCCATTTCTCAGATGGGTAAATAAATGGATAGCTGCATAGTTGATCATGACATCTGGTCCTATCACTTCCTGGCAAATAGATGGGGAAGAATGGAGGTAGTGACAGATTTGATTTTCCTGGGCGCCAAGATCACCGCAGACGGGGACTGCAGCCAAGAAATTAAAAGATGCTTGCTCCTTGGGAGGAAACCTATGGCAAGTCTAGACAGCATACTAAAAAGCAGAGACATCACCCTGCCAACCAGCATGCATATAGTCAAGGCTATGGTTTTTCCTGTTGCAATGTATGGCTGTGAAAGCTGCACCATAAGGAAGGCTGAGCGCCAGAGAATTAAGGCCTTTGAATTGTGGTGTTGGAGAAGACTCCTGCGAGTCCCTTGGACCGCAAGGAGATCAAACCAGTCAGTCCTAGAGAAGATCAACCCTGACTGCTCTTTAGAAGGCCGGATCTTGAAGATGAAACTCAAATACTTTGGCCACCTAATGAGAAGGAAGGACTCCCTGGAGAAGAGCCTAATGCTGGGAACAGTAGATGGCAAAAGAAGAAGGGGACGGCAGAGGATGAGGTGGCTAGATGGAGTCACTAAAGCAGTTGGTATGCGCTTAAGTGGACTCCGGGGGATGGTGGAAGGCCTGGAGGAGTGTTGTCCATGGGGTCGCGATGGGTTGGACACGACTTTGCGACTAGCAACAACACAATAGTTGATTGAATTGCATGCTGCAGTAGAATCTTCCAGGGTGGGCACAAGGTAAATCTCAGAGGGTTTGAACTTCAGCTCTGAGAATCCCCTCTCCTAGCCATGGTCAGGAATGGTCAGGAAAACCACATCTAAAGATATACTTTCTGTGTCCCATTTTTTGTTTTGCTTCTGCTCTTGGGCAGGGCTGGATTCTTTTTGCTGAAATGTGTGGGCCCAATTCCCATACCCTGTCCTCAGTGTCTATAATAATCACTCACAGACCGGGAAGTTGGTATTGTTTTTAATTATTTTCTTATTGACTTTATGCAGGGTGTAAGCTTATTACAAGCACAGCGGGGAGATTGTAAAAGACCATCAATTGTTTTTATGAGACCCCAAGCATTTTCCAATCTCAGATGTAGTGACTGATCATTTGGGAAGCAGACATGTAGGCCTTGAGGAGATTTATGAACGTATCACACTTCTGTGTCTCCTGCAGCTTGTAATTACCCCAAGGCAGTGAAGAAGCATTGCAGGAAGGGGGGGGGGATCTTCCATGTATTGAGGGGGTGGCTGGCTACTTTTATTGTCCTAAAACACAGATTCTCATGCCTGATTTAGAACTCCAAATGCATCAAGGCTTTCATTATACTGGATGGAAATGCCATTATTATTGACAAAGTGGGGGGGGGAGTACCATTTTCACAATGAGGGGCACACATCTTGGTAATCTTTTGCATATCTCCAGGCTACCCACTCCCACCAGTAATGCAAGAAGGGCTTGGATTTGCCTGTACTCACAGGAAATTTCCATTGCACACAAAAACCAGGTAACAATGAACATATACAACCACCTTATAACATCCGGACAATGCATCCATCTAGTGGCACAGTACACATCTATCCTAACTAGTACCAGCTGCCTGAAATTTCCAGCAGAAAAAGGCCTTGTCCCTTTCTTTGTTTTCCTTGAACTATGGAAATTATCATCTCACCGTAACAATAATCCAGCTGGTTGAACACGTATCTCAAGCATCTTTCTCTGGAATCTATGTAGGCAGGACAGTAGAAAACTAAATGGATGATATGCTGAGTGGATGATATTGTTCTTGTATTACAGAAAAACATTATACTTATCCTCCTACCAAGTAGAGGGTATAGTCCAGAATTATTCTTTCTCTATGCATAAGAAACCCTGGAACTTACACACTCAAAGCATGTGTTGTAGTATTCACTGAGCTATAGGGCCATTCCTGTAAAGAGTCTTTTAGGAATAAAGCATATAATGATGCTGTGGAGTCTTGTTCAGCCTGCTGTTCTAAGTGAACTGTGATATAGTTCTTCATAAAAAAATACCCAAATGCATATAAAATGCATATCTTAAGAAAAAGTTTGTACAAAATGAATATTTTAGGGCTAATGTATACTTTGCGAAAAGTATACATTGTACAAAAGGTGTACAAATATAATGTTAATTGGGGGAAGTTTAAAAAGAAAAGTGTGCCAGTTGGTGCAGAAACAGGATGGAAGGTTTTTAAAAATAAGTAATGTATGCAGAACTGCCATGGACCAGAAAGGGGACTGATCCACCCCTCCCTGTTACTGTACTGCTGAGATGTCCTTGCTCTACTATTGAAGCTCCAGCAACTCACCTCAATTCCAAGCAGAATTCCCTTCTGGGGCAACTTAAATCCTGTAGATAGCATTGCCTTCAGGAAGGCAGACTGAATGTTTTCTCCAAAGCAGGCCACCTGGACAGTGGAAAAAGCAGAGGAATGGAGGAAGGAATAGAATAAAAGCATGATTATTATTAAAACAAGAAGTGTGAAGCAAGACGAGTACATGTTTAAAGAAAGGGGAAGAAGTGTTTTTCCTTAAGGAATCCTAACATTCCCTCTCTGCCACTTTTGTCTGGAGCCAGCAGGGAAATGGCAGATCAGCATAGACAAATCTTATATTTTAATTAAGCAATAATGAAGGAATAAGCAATGCTTTACTCGCAAATAGCACACCATGGAGCAGCATAAATGGATCCTGCTATGAATTATGTGAACACCACACACAGCTTCTGGTTCACGCACAGCCTGCATGTGCTCTACAGAATGTTCATAATACTTAATGCTTAAATAACAGCAAGGGTTATAAATGCTTCTGTGGGCCCATAAATGAATGTTGCTACTTGTAGTGGGAAGGCATGGTTGTTTAGCTTAGCGTGAAGGTCTAGGCATTTCCTGAGCATTTGAGAGACCATTCAGAGTAGCTAAATGCACTAACTTTGACTGTGAAAAAATCTGAAAGTCAGATATAAGCAAGCTACAGTTTTGCATGTGGCTGAGTATGTAAAACAGAATTGGTGCTGAGAACTGAGGACATGGTGCAGGGCCCAGGAAAGTTAAAAAAGGCAGAATGGATAAGAAGGCAGAGGAATGCCAATTCTGGACCCAGTGTCTGCTCCCATGTTGTTTGGTAATTACCTGACAAAACAAAGTTCAACAAGTGTTTCCATTAAAAAGAGACAGGGATGAAACCAGAAGCTCTTGCTGATGTATCTCTTTATCAAGGAGTGTTCCTTGACTGAACAAGACAAGCAATTTAAAAACAGGCATTAATGTCTTAACTGAAAATCTTATATTTTATTTTTGGGCGTAAAGGATTCCTACGTTCATTGTGTAGATGCATTTATGTCTTGGAAACCTTCTTAGTGTAATAATTTGTAACAATTTCATATTTTGTTGGTACCTCTCCAAGTTATCAGGCTTCGTGCTTGTTCCACATTTTTCTTTCCTTGAATAGTTAACTGGGGGTGTGAGAAACAGAGCAAGAATAGTATCTTTCTAAAAAGAGAAAAAAAAACTAGCAAATGCACAGCTATTTCATAGTAAGAGCCATTTGCTACTAAGTATACAGGCATGTATCCTACTGAAGGAAGGAACAGAAAATGGAATGAGCTTGGAAGAAGGGTTGTTCTTCCTATCTCATCCTCCCACAAGTTTTGGGAGATAAATGGTCATCAAGCGAGACGGCTACAAGGCCAAACCGGCCTATTGAACTCTTAGGAAATAGTGCACACGCTTAATAGGCTTATGAATAGTAATTGACACACCTCTCATAGGTAATAGGCTTATTAGCATGAACATGGGATGTATGAGCAGGAGTGGGGACCATATCGAGGAGTAGTATGATGTAGGCGGATGGAGAAGATTGTGACTTCTTAGAAACCAGCCAATGGCGAAGCGGGGGTAGTGCTGAGCATTGTGGAAAGAAATGTATATAATCTCATGTATGCTTTGTGTAATTTGCTCTTTGTTCCTCAGGCAACTGAGACTCTGAGCCAGCCTTTGCAAACGCTTCAATAAAGCTGCTTGTGCCTGCTCAGAACTTGTCTCACAGTTTTGAATCTCAGGGGTGGGAGTGGGGTGTTTAGGAGGTTGTGTTTTTCTTTCTGTATCGGGCAATATCAAGTGAGGTATTGCAGACTCATGGATTCCCTTGCACCCCAGTCAATTCCATTCTGCATGCAAAACCCAATGCTTCTACAATGGAAATTTAATGTTTCCAGGAGCAACCAGAAATGAGTAGAATCACTCATTTCTGTAATGGGGCTAGTCAACTGAGCTCACATAAGGGAGTTACCCAACTCAGAAGCTAGTGCTTCCATTTGTTTCAAGGTTTCCTACAAGAGTTGTTAAATTTCTGCTGCTCAAGCAATGGGTTCTACTTGCACAACTGAATCAGCAGGAGGGGACACTTGCACAGCAACCCTGTTGGATACTGCCCCCTGCATTTTCTTTAGAAAATACCACTTGGACCAGTGCCATTGGGTGCAAAAGCAAGCACACATGGAATGATAAACAAAACATGGGTTTCTTGCTAGAAACTGTTTACACAATCATACCTGCTAACTCTAAGATCAAAAGGCTTTTTAGCTTTTCTCTTGCATGCACTTAATCCTTCTCCCAAGTTCCCAAGGCAAAACAGTTCCACATTAGGTATAACTTCAGGATCAAAATGGGTTTTGGATAACAAGGAGTCCGATGGCTCAAGGATCATTAAAGGGCACCTGTGTCTCCATCAGTTCTCAATTTATGGAAACTCTAAGAGTATACACACAGCAGCTCAGTATGCATTAGCCTGCATTAATCGAAGCATCACTTCCAAATACCGTGAAGTACTACCTCCCCTTTACTTAGTGCTGTTTAGGCCTCATCTGGAGTACTGTGTCCAGTTTTGGGCACCACAGTTATGAAAGACACAGAAAAGCTGGAGGTGGGGGTGGTTTCTGAGGAGGGCAACAAGGATGATCCAGGACTGGAAACAAAATGCTTGAAAGAACTGGGCATGTTTAGCCTCAAGCAGCCTGAGGGGAGACATGACAGAACTCTACAAGTACTTGAAAGTCTGTCACAAGGAGGAAGAGTAGGATCTCTTCTCAGTCATCCCAGAGTGTGGAACACAAAATAATGGGCTCAAGTTACAAGAAGCCAGATTCTAGCTTGATATCAGAAAAAAAAAATCCTGAGTGTTAGAGCAGTATGGCAATGGAGCCAACTACCTGGAAGACTGTGGGCTTTCCCACACTAGAGGCATTAAAGATGCAACTAGGCAGCTGTCTGAGAGGGATGATTAACCTGGTGCAGGGGGTTGGACCCAATTGCCTTCTGGCCCCTTCTAACTTTCCTGTTTCATGGTTCTGTGCAACAATGAGCCTGAAAATACTGGGTCCCAACAATTCTCTTCTATGCACAAATGGTCTTGAGGAATGAAAGGGAAGCATCATCCAAAAAAAATATATAAGCCCCTGTTATTGGCAATCATACGCACAGTTAAAAATTCCTATTTAAATCAAAATCTATTCCATATCTTTGACAAATAGTAACAGCACGTTCACATCCACATCCACAGGAAGTTCTGTGTGCATTTAAAATATATTGTAGAGTAAGTGACTGTCTTGCCCATGGAGAATTATTATGCTCTTTTCACTGGTAGTAAGAAAGACCTTCACAACTCTCCTATTTTATGGCAATTGTGAATATGGATCTTTCTAACTCATAAAATTTAATAATCTCTCCTTTATGTCTAAAACATTATTTCCTTCAACACTCAGAAAACTATTCCTTACTGCCTTGGTTAAACTACTGTTTCCCTTTTTTCCCTCATGAATTCAACTCCTGGAAGAAAGTTAGAAGGACAACTATTCCCTTTTCTATCCAATAATTAGCCTAAAAGCAAGACGTACAGCAGTTGTGAATTTAACTACAGTCTAAGGAACATAATAGATCATGTTCATGATCATCATCACTGCCATGAAAGAAATGGAAGGGATAGTATCCCAGTGTATGAAATACTAAAAATCTAATAAATCATTTAATAAATGGCATTCATGCATAAAAGTTAAATATGGTTACTCTCCCATATTCACTATATTAATATTGCAATCCCCTGCAGACCTACGGCATTTAAGACCCACTGAATTCAGGAAGACAACCCCCTTGGTTAATAGACAGAGGATGGGACAGCTCAGACCACAGATCAATTTGAAGTACTTGTGCTTAAAGGTGTTTACGATCACAATCTGTATAGAAACTCCTCCCTACTGTTTACATTATGTCATCCATTTATAACAATCCACCACTATTGTTAGTGCATGCAGGTTTAATGCCACATGCATGCAAATCAGGACTAGTCCAAGATATGTGGGCATCATAAAGAAAGCTGTATCCTATATGCTCTCCTTCTGAATCTACACATCCATGTGCACACATCTATATCTACCTTTTGCCTATGAACCTTTAAACCTGTTCAATTTGGGATTAAATACAGTGAGCTGTAATTGCTAACAATGATGGGATCAGGATGGATAAAGCCTAGTTCTGCAGAATTTTCCATTTTTTCACTCTATGGTCTCAGATATCCTTTTTTATAGCAAGCAGAGTACAAATCAGATTGACAACCAGATGTTAATGCTGTCTAGTTAATCCATTGCTTTCAGTGAAATGTGTGTTTAAATGCACATAATCAAATGCATGCACCATAATTATTCCTCATCACCACCACTGTACAACTACCCTCTCGCTTTGGACTAACTTGTACAAGAATTTGTACATTCAGTCACTCTTTGCCTTTCGCATGACAGAAAGTGAATCAGAGTCTGACTTAAGGAGGAGGTGCAACTGTCTGCAAAAGAGGAATGACAATATCCATTACCAAGTTTTCTGGATTACCATGCCATTCTGATATGGATCAAATGCACTTTATTTATTTGTTTGCAATATTTATATCTTGCCTTTTTCCTGCAAGGAATATAAATGGCTAACACAATGCTTCTCTCCATTTTATCCTCACAACAACCCTGAGAAGTAGATTAAGCTGAGCATCAGAGGCTGGCCCAAATTGTCACCCCATGAGCTTCATGGCTTAGCAGGGATGAGCTTCATTCCAACATTCTAGCTACTATGTCGCAGAATGATTGCTTTGAAAAGCCAGGAAGTAAGGAGAAGTTAATTTTGGTTTGATTTTCATAACTTCACCTATATTTGGGATGAAAAGAATTTGTGATATCAAAAATCTGAAAGGAGAAACTGAAGCAGTCAGATCTATACACCCAGGCCTTGCGTTTTGAATGTTTTGCTCTTAAAAGCCTGGATTTGAATCCCTGGGTATTCAACCAAGTTTGGGTGTTGGAGATGCCACCTATTTTTTATGACAGGTGCCTTGTCTTTTACAGCTACATGGCAGGTCCTCTTAACCCTGGAAATGGCATTACCATTTGCTAATGGTATAGACCAATATCAGTTTGATTGTAGAGACAGGAGAGACTTTTATTTGAATTTCTTTTCTTTTTTTCCTTCCTTCCTTCCTTTTTTTTTTGGTAAGGATTCTGCACATTTCCTATTTTGAATATAAACAATTTGAGATTTCAAAAATACCAGTGTGGGAGAAGATGAAACTGATAGATTCATACATCCCTAGATGGTGGATGACTAAGGACATATTATGCCAGTCTTCTTCCAGCTACACTGGCTGCCAGTTGAAGTCTGGGCCCAATATTCAAAGTGCTACTACTAACATTCAAAGCCCCAAACTGCTTGGAGCCAGATTATCAGAAGGAACCTACACAGACATGGGGATCATCTTCAGGGATCATTCTCCAGGAGCCTGGTTTAAAGAAAGTGAGGCGGGTGGCTACCAGGAGGAGGCCTTTTCAGTTGCAGCACCCTGGCTGTGGAATAAGCTCCCCAAAGAGGTGTGTCTGGCTGCTGCTTTGTATGCCTTTCAGTGCCAGATGAAGACCTTTTTATTTGCACAGCATTTTAACAATTTAACTTTGTTTTTAATATTGCATTTTATCCTGAGGTGCTGCTATGCTTCTATGCTGATTCAATTGCAATTGCCACAGTTTTGTTGTTTTATGTTAATTTCTGTTTATTTCTGTGTTAAAGCTTTTTGTTAACCACTCAGACAGCCTCAGCTATTGGGTGGTATAAAAATGAAATAGATAACAGAATGCATTTGACAGTCCTGTTGTACATATAATTACTGATGTCATATGCAGAAAAAGTTGTCCCTGGAGTAAGTAATGCACACTTCACACAAAAGAAAAGTCCTGCAACCCCTCTCCACCCAGGACCCACAATAAACTGCATTTCTGCCTAACTATAGGTCCTCTGCAGTGAAGTTCTGGAATCTATCAACAGGACAAAAAGTATCTACAGCCATACAGGATACCTAGATTTCTCTTTGCACATTACATGCCATGGTGGTAACCAAGCAACCAAAAAAAAAATCAACCCTGATGTAACATCTACACTCAAAAAGACCAGCTGTTCATGTTCTGAAGTCTGAAGTTAGCTCTGTGATGTTGCATTGATGGGTATTTTGAAGGCTGTATATACTTGTCTGTCAAGAGCTAGCTAGGTATTGCACAAAATGTACTGTCTGCCATTCTGAAATATTTAACAAAACCTGACAGCTCTCTGAGAGGGGAAAAACAAACAGAGTCTATGCTTTTGCAATGACCACTGCCAATGGGTGGGACTCAGATACAAATGAAGAGGGACATCCAGTGGTCAAACAAGTTACATTCTGCAGGATAACCAGTTTAACTTTCCCTTATGAGAAAGAGGCATCTCTGAAAAGATAGAAAGCATTACATATCCTAGTTTAACTGTCTTTTTGCCTCAAAAATGGATTGATTTTCTGTGGAGTCTTAGCAACGTAAGAAAATAATAAGAGAATAATCTTTAGAAAGCAGCCTACCCTCCAATACAAATCATCTCATGGATTTGTTGGCATAAGAAGAGGCCTATCAGGTAGAAAAAACAAGCTGAATTATTGTGGAAGCCTGCAATCCCAAATCAGGCTGGAGACAAAATCTGAAATTCCTACCTCCCCAGTGGATGCCATTTCACAACGGAGAATAGGGTCAACATCTCTCAGACGTGGCCAGGAAAACACTGGAGCCTGGAAAAACAAGCAGAAGTAAATGGTAAATCCATTGAATTTATGACTCCATCATGGAGCTGATAGATGAAGTACAGAATAGGGGAGCACAGGACGATACCTCTAGTTAGTAAGGGGAGCACTTGATGATACCTCTAGTTAGTAAGGCGGGGAGGTGAAGGAGAGCACCGCCATGGATGCGAAAGGAGGTGGTTAGAGGGATTAGACGAAAGAGCAAACTCTGTAGGAAATGGGTACTGGGGCAAATAGACAAAAGGGTATACCAGGAGGAGGAGGCCCGTTGCAGAAGGATTCTTCGCAAGGTTAAGGCTGATTACGAGCTGAGACTTGCCAAGATTATAAAGAGCAATAAAAAGGGCTTCTTTCAGCATGTAAATAGGAAGAGGAAGAGGAGACAAGTAGAGGGACCACTAAATAAGGAGGAAGGAGATCCAGTGGCTGATATGAGGGAACAGGCACAGATGCTAAATGACTATTTTCCCTCTGTGTTCTCCCCAAAGTAGGACAGGGGATATCTGCATAGGAGATTAGATGAGGCTGGGGACTTAGGGGCACAGATTAGAGTCACCCTCCTAGAAGTCAAGGGGCTCCTCAGGGCATTGGACATTACAAAGGCGCCAGGCCCTGACAGGTTACACCCGACAGTACTTAGAGAGTTCGCAGGGGTTCTCTCACACCCACTGGCCTCCATTTTTGAGACCTCATGGAGAATGGGTGAAGTTCCAGAGGACTGGAGGGTAGCATCAGTGGACCCAATTTTCAAAAAGGGTAGTAGAAGGGACATGGGGAATTACAGACCAGTTAGCCTCACGTCCATTGTAGGAAAAACAATGGAAAGGCTCATAATAAAGAGAGATCTAGTGATGCAAGATAGGGAACGGAGGATGGCAGCCACACAACATGGCTTCCACAAAAACAGGTCCTGCCAGATAAACCCTGTGGAATTCTACAACAAGGTTTCGAGGTGGCTAGATGGAGGGGATGCAGTGGATGTGGTATACCTGGATTTCAGCAAGGCCTCTGACAAAGTGCACCATGATACCCTGGTGGAGAAACTGAGGAGTTTTGGGATACACCAAAGCACTGTCCGATGGATTAGGGCATGGTTGACTGACCAAAAGCAGAGGGTAACCATTAGTGGGAAATGATTGGAATGGTGGCCCGTGACAAGTGGGATTGCCAAGGGCTCTCTCGTGGGACCAATCCTGTTTAATCTTTTCATCAAGGACATGGAAGAAGGGGTGAACAGTCTGCTGATCAAATTCACAGACGATACTAAAACTGGGGCAGTGGCCACAACTGATGGGCAGGTACTCCAGATCCAAAAGGATCTGGACAGACTATGGAAGTGGGCAGGAGACAACAGGATGGCGTTCAATGTGGATAAGTGCAAGGTCTTGCACTTGGGGCATAGGAATGGGTGTCATAAGTACAAGTTAGGGGACAAGTGGCTGGAGAGCAGCACTTGTGAAAGGGACCTCGGGGTGCTGGTTGACTGCAGGCTAAACATGAGTCAGCAGTGTGATGCAATAGTCAAGGGGGCGAATGCTACGCTTGGTTGCATAGCCAGAAGTGTGGCTTCTAGATTGAGAGAGATATTACTACCACTCTATACGACTCTGGTGTGCCTACAACTGGAGTATTGTGCTCAGTTTTGGGCCCCTCATTATAGGAAGGATATAGCCAGGTTAGAGTCAGTGCAGCGTAGGGCCACAAAGTTGGTGGCCGGTTTGCAGGGGATGCCGTATGAAGCGAGACTGAGGGAAGTGGGTCTCTTCAGCCTGGAGAAGAGGAGACTCAGAGGGGATATGTTGGCGACATACAGGTATGTGAGGGGATGTCACATGGAGATGGGTAGAGACCTGTTCTCCCCAGCAGAGGAAGGCAGGACGCACTCCAACGGAGCAAAGCTCAGGGAGCCAAGGTTCCATTTGGATGCCAGGAAGCACTTCCTGACAGCTAGGACCCCGAGGGTGTGGAATGTGCTTCCACGGGCGGTGGCTGAGGTCCCATCAGTGAGGGTGTTCAAGGATAGGCTGGACATGCACACGATGGGCATGTCGTGAGCGGAGCCGGCTGGTGCATGCGGTCAGACTAGATGGCCTGGGAGGCCCCTTCTGACTCACTCTGTTTCTATGTTTCTATTTCCCAAATTTGCCCCAAGAAGAAAGAAAGAACATGTTCATGAATTATGTCTGTGGCAAAAATAATCATGGTTTTGATGAAAATTGCCTTGTTGACCATTCCACAACCAACTTCATGTTGCCGTGTGACATCTTGAATGTGGGCCCTCTCTGTCATGAATCACATCTTCCCAGGTATGGTTAGGGGTGCAATGAACTTGGTGTCATGAGCATTCTCTGGGCCTCATACACTGTATGTGGACTGAGTCCTGTTGCTCCACATGCTGGTGTGGTTAATGCTGATCGACCATGCCAGCCTGTTGTAAGGAGTACAGAGACCCTGCAAATTAAGCACTCTATCATAAATGTAACTGTGAAGTATGGTGCACATTGTTACGACTGTGAAACTCAAGTGAGCATTTCTCTCCCCTAGTGCTTTTTTTTACAACTGCTAGTACGTATGTCAGAGTAAACAACTAGAAAAAAGGAGAGAAAGAAGCACAGTGAAAAATGCAAGATAATCCACCCCAGAAAAGCAGTTATAACAGGTCCCCTATTTGTGGCAATAGGAAGAGAGGGAAGTACATCACCCTCCCCACTGTTGCTTTCGACAAATGTGGCTTCTAGTCAGATATTTTGGGGAAACTATGTTAAAAAGAAGATGTGAACAGGGTGTTAGTCTATGCACCACAGGAGAAGGTAATACTAATCCATAATAAAGTGCCTACTACTCAAAAGTTCTGTCGATCCAATAGGGTCTCTTGAGAGCCTTTTAATTATTTTTTACATTTTAATAATCATTATTGCCATAGGCATTCAAAAGTATTTTGTTGACTCCTAAAGAAATAAACTGTGTGATTTCCATGCAAATGACTAAAGCAAACCACAGAGATGTCTCTTTTGGTAGGGAAACATCAGCTATGTTCTGAGGGCTGAGCCTGTGTAAACCAGGGCTTTGTTTGATTATTTTGCTGAGAAAGAGAAAGAGAGAGAGAGAGATTCATTATTTTCTATATACCTCAGTTATTTCATTGTGCTGAACACATCAGATATTCCTGGTGGATCATAACCCATCTTGTACACTAAACAAAGACTTTCAGGATAACGAGCATGCACATTTATAGGTCAGGTACTGTAATGTTTAATCGCCACAGCAGGCCAGAAGAACTTGTGACCTTCCAAAGCCAAATGCAGCCAGCTCACATGCCATTCTCTGTGCCCTGCTAAGGGCTTGAGTGGGCCACTGCATTGAGTGGGCCACTGCACTTGAGAAAGCCACTGCATTGGCTGGTGAATTTTGTTTAGAGGTTGTGCAGACCTGCTTATGAACAACTGATGAACTCTCATTAGGGGTAAGAGAAGCTAAGCCACTTAAAGATACAGCCAAGTTATCTGTTTGCTTCATGTGAAATGCCTTTGGTTAAGCCCACAACATGCAAATGCTGCCACTATGCAAGAGTCACTTACTTCTGTATCTCTCATTTCTAATTTGAACCTATAATTAATTTTCTGCACACTGAATGCTGATCACAGAGATCACTGACTCATTTCTCTTGCTAGTATAAGCTTTGCTTTCTCTCTCTCCATTACATGAATGGCTCAAAAAGATGAATTTATCAAGTCAAGCAGGAATGCCGCAGTCACTGGACCCTCTTCCTACATACCACATACCTTAATGCCCACATAGTCTGAAGGAATCATGGGGTGTGTTAGTGCAGGAAGGGTAGATTCGTGGATTTGTTCCCCAGTCATCACTTTCGTGGCCACTTCAATGAAATCCAGACCAAGAGATTTGGACACAAATGGGAAAGATCGTGAAGCTCGCAGGTTGCACTCAATCACCTACATGGAAGATGGGGAGAGCATCTTTAAAACACCTCAGTTGGGATGTGAAAAAGATACATGTTTCTATTGTAGTATTAGCCACTTACAAGTCTAAAGATTTTAGGCATTTTTTTTTAATTTGAATCACCTCCATACTTGAATATACACATATTAAACAGACAGAAATTATGGTTTATGCTTTAAAGAGAAATATATAGCAGAAATTTAAAAGCAGATTCTTGGCACATTCTGAGATCAAGCTCACTTAAAGATAGTCAGCATTTACACCCAAACTATTAATCATGTCTGGAAAACCATATCTTCCAATATGGGGGAAAAATTCCCAGATGTGTATGCTGCAGATCCAGTTGGCCAAATTACATCTTTCCAGAGGCACAGAAAGCATGATCAAGTTCAGGGGATAGGTCCTCACAAGATGGGTATATGTAAGACTAATGGGGCGGGGGGGGGGGAGAACTGAGGAGACACCAGAAGCAATAAAGATGCAAGACAGTTAGAGAGTTATCAAAGGAACTGTAGAGAAAAAAGCAAATCTCTGGAAAAATTAAGATGAATTCCTTTAGCTTTGCTCTGATTGCTCTGGTCAATGCCCAGAGTTTTTAAGACAAGCAAGATTATATGACAGTAGCTAACTTTAATCCTTTTAGGTATATGAAGGAAAGCTGCCCTGGATGCTTAACTGCAATCAAACCAGTAGTATACTGCATTAAAACAAGCCCCAATGCCATATTGTAGGAAGACCATCCAAGTCATTCAGAATCTTTCATTTTCTGCAACTTTGGCACCAACAGAGGTTTTCTTCTTGATGCAATTAATGGCTGAACAATATACGATTTTCACTGGGACAATGGCAGAAAGGAAAGATGTAAATTCTCCTTCCTCATCACCCCATCATGTTACTCCCCATTCATGCAATTGGCTATACCACTGCTGAGGGATATGAGTAAAGTTGGTTACTAGATTTTTTGTGAGCTAAGAAAATGCCACCGTATCAATAATACTGATTTGAAGGCACTTCATCCTCTTATGTTTTTTTTTTCTATTGTACCTACCTTCCATTTTGCTTTCTAGCTATTCATAATGACCCAAGATAGCAAAGTAGCAGCCTATGAATTCTAGAGTCAGACCTGTATTGTGCTAATAAGATGAGTCACATATAACATTCTTACAAATCTTATTTAGCATTGATCTAAGTTCAGTGCTGAGCTAACACACTTGCTGACAGACAGCAATTCTACAGAGCTTGCTTTGTCCTCAAATTACTGCATTGTGTGAGAAGACAGAGTTCTCACACAGAGTAACTTATGAAGTGCTGAATGGCAGACAGAACCAGTGGCACAAAGACATGTGCAGCAGCAAGCAAGCCAGGTATTATATGCCTAGTGCTTCCCACACCACGCAGCAAATATTAGCAACAACCTGGCTTATTTTTTGCCAGGTGTGCTTCATGAAAAAAGGAGCTTGTAGGAAAACATCATGCTTTTTATTATGATTAACTGCTTTCTACTTCCAAAAACTGTCTCACCAACACATTGTTTCCTCTGATGAGAAACTGAATGTTGAATGGTCCAGAAATAGCAAAGGCATCAGCAATCTTACTGGTTGCAATTTTCACCTGTGAGAATAAACAGAACATGTATTTATGAATACAATCTCTTCCCCAAAAGTCTTAAACTGGAAAGGACTGACAACAACAGGCTTCTTGAGAAACAGAGTAAGTGCAAATACACTAAAAGCCCAAATTTGACTTCTTGTACATCTTCAGAGTCTTTCTGCAACCACCTCCCTGTCCACAGAACTTCCATCTTGCCAGAATTCAATTTCAATTTGTTGGCCCTCATCCAATCCACTTTTGAATCCTGGCACAAGTTCAGTACATCCACAGCCACTTGTGACTCAAATAACAAGGAAAAATAGAGCTGTTGATGGTACTTCAAGATGTGTGGGACCACTTCCTCTCAAGGAAACATGAAAAAGACCTGCTCCCATCTGATTCAATAAGTCATAATTATAATAATTAACTAAGATGAGCAAGGGATATAGATAGTCACCCAAACACCACCAAGTACCTTGTCTAAAGGCAGCAACAACTGAACTGATTATTTAATTATTATCTTGGGGTTTTTTTTGTTAATGTTTATAGTTATTTGTTTTTTTAAAAAACAAAACTCATAGTCTACACAAATATAAAGCAATACAAATAATAAAATTATTAATGATGATCATGACTAAACATTACAATAATAATGTGCTATCTTCCACCAAGACCAACAGATGCATGTTACTTAGGGTAAAATCATGTATTTATTCAGGTGGCCCCCAGTCTGATTCCAAGAGCAGCATGGAATCTTGCAGTGGCACACCCTCCTTTCTCTGGATTGAAGCACATTCAATAAGCGGTCTTCAAATATCTTCAAATTTATTTTTACTTATCAAGTCTTTTTTCCACTTAATATCTCAAGGTAACTTATTAATAGCTATATTCCAGACTTCTTTATACCAGTCATTTATCTGATAGTCACCTTTTATCTTCCAGTTCCTTGCTATTATTAATCATACTGCTGTTACTAAATTTGTTATCAATTCTTGGATGTTTAAGAATAGGCTGGACATAGACATGGTACGCATGTCATGGCTGGAGCTGGGGGTCAGACTAGATAGCCGGGGAGATCCCTTCTGACTTGCTCTGTTTTTATGTCCTACTTGTTCTCTAAATAATGACAAGACACTAGTCCAGGGTCTACTTCAATATTTAGATTCAGTATTTTACTAATTTCTTTTAAAGCCAAAATTATTAATATGTTTACTCTCCAATCACATATGGAAATATGTACCCATTTCCCAGTTACATCTCCAGCATATAATGGAATATTTATCATTTATGTAATTCAATTTTACCCAAGTTAGGTACCATTTCCAAACTAATTTGTAAAAGTTTTCTTTAATTCTTGTACAGATACAGTTTAAGATTCTCCCACATATTTCTCAATTTTTCATTACTAATATAGCTTCTTAAATATATTTTCCAAGACACTTTGGTCCATCCCTTCTTCTAATATGTTATAAATTTTACTTGTCATTCCTCTCATCCACATATTATCTTGTTTTTCTTTCTGTACAATCATATCTTCAAATTTAGCATGTTCTCTATATTTGCCATTTTATTTCAACCAATCTTTAGTCCATTGATCTAATTGAAGTATATTATTCCAAGTTAAATTTCTGTCTCCTAATATTGCCTGTATCTTTTCTTTATTCTTCATTTTCTCCAAGCAAGTGTTTAACTTAATAGTATGTTTATTCTTCAATGTTTTCCCCAAGCTACACCTCAAATTCTGTGGAAATCTTTTTAATTTTGTAATTGGATACAACGACAAAACAGATGGCACAAATATATCTCCGTATCTACTCCAAATTCTGACCACATTCTTTAAAAGGAGGTTTTCTATCTTTTTAATAATATTTTTATTATCCTGTTGAAGAAAAACATTTAATAAGGATCCCTCAACATATGTTGTGCCTGACAGCTTGACAGAGATGTCGACTCGTGAGAAAGAGTCAAACATTCACAATGAGAATCAGGCATTGGAACAAGGGGACTTATACTTGGGGCCCAGTGCCCAAAAGGGCCCCCTGCAGCCTGACTATGGGACTGCTGAGCAAGTAGCCTCCCCACAGCCTGACTGTGAGGCTTCTGAATGAGTAGCTTCTCCCCATCCTGTCTCTGAGGTGACTGAACAAGTTGCCCCCCCCCCCCCGCCTCCTGACTCTGAAGCTGCTGGGCAGAGTTCAGGAGAACAAGAAGACATAACAGTGAATTTGGCAAATGCCCAACTTAGGAGGAGTTTAAGGCATCTAGATCAGTTGCGTCTGGACCTATTGAGAATACAGGACAGAGGTTTGTCCCACCCACAAGTGGAAAGACATGACAGGAAAATCTAATCCCACGTGGGCTTCTCAGATACTTCAGAAAGGAGAGGGCAACTGTGTTGCTAGGAGCTCTCTGCTAGAGCTTATCTGTTGCATCGTAAATCTTGTAGAAAGCAGCAATAAAAGTCTTTAGTTTTATGACCGGCTGCTGTGTGAGTTAATTGGAGACGTGAGTTACGACCTCACAACAACATATTGAAATTCTAGTTTACTTCATATTATATTAATGGGCTGTAGTATAATATCCAATATATGCCACACTTGATTTGCTATGTAATAAAACTTCACATTAGGAATACCCAGACCTCCTGTTTTCTGGAACATATACTGTCTTTTTAAATTAATCCTGACTTTAACCCCATTACAACATTTATTAATCATATTTTGCCATTCTTTCAAATCTTTCTCTGTTATCTTAATTGGCAACATCATAACTAAGACATTTATCTCAGGTGAAATCTTCATTTTAAATACCATTATTCTACCCACCCACAACAAACCAATCTTCCTAAATCCATTCATTTTCTCTTTCATTTCACATTTTAATTTATCAAAAATATTTTCTTATTATAAAAATATTAAATATATAATAAAATATTATTAAAACATCCATTTTTTATATTTATACCAAAATACTTGATAGTTTTACATATCTTGACTTCTAACTTGTTCCTAATCTTATCCTTTTCTACTTTATTACAATTAAAGTACATCATTTCCAATTTGTCCCAGTTTACTTGTAAACCCATTGTTTCTCCAGATTCTACTAAATGTGTTTTAATCTGATTCATAGCCTTAACTGGATCCTTTATTGTTAATAAAGTGTAATTAGCAAATAAACTAAACTTAATTTTATTCTCAAATCCTCTTATTAAATTATCATTTCTAATAATATTTGCTAGCAGTTGTATAATTAAAGCAAATATCAGAGAGAGGGGGCATCCCTGTCTACTACCTCAGTCTATGAATATTTGTTCCAGTATAGCATCATTCACTATTACCACTGCATAATTTTCTGAGTATAATTAATTTATTGTATTTCTAAATTGTGGACCAAATTCCTGTATTTCTATTAATATCTTTATTGTTGGCCATTCCACACAATCAAAAGCTTTGAAGATACGAAATATTATTATGCCAGCTTTTAAATTTTCCTTATGTATATGGTCAATAATGTTTAATACACTTCTAGACAAATCTGCCATCTGACTCCCTATTACAAAACCACTTTGATCCATATTAATGTATTTATATATAAAGTTACTCATCCTCTTTGTAAATATTACTGTAAAAATTTTTGTATCCCAGTTATCGAGGATATAGGTGAATAGGCTCCAAGGACTGTCAAATCTTTATTAGGTTTTGAAATTAAAACTATTGAAGAGTACTTCCAAGATAATTGTATCTTTCCTCCTTCCAATATTTTATTAAACAGAGATTTTAATTTTGAAATCAACATCTCGAAAAAAGTTTTATAATACTCTGGACCTAAACCATCTGTCCCAGAAGGTTTTCCTACTTTTAGTTTACCAATAATATCTTCTTTGTCCTCATCTCTAACAGATTGTTCTATCAACTACCTATTCCTCTGCTGCAATTTATTCCCAACATTCTTCTCTATATATGTTCTAATTTTATCCAATGCAATTTTCTGACCAAATACAACTTAGAAAAAAATCTATAAAATACTCCCATTTTTATTTTGTTAAATTGCACCTTTTTACCACTCTAACCCTTAACTATCCCAATTAAATGTTTAGCTTTCTTTTGTTCTGTGGGTCTGTCCAATAACTTTGAATTCTTATTACTAAATTCAAAGTGTTCCCTTTTCAACTATATTGCACTTCTTGGTATTTTCAATATTTTGCAATTCTTCTCTTTTAGCTTCAATTACAGCTAAGATATTTATGTCCCTATGTTCTATATATTTTTCTCTGACTTTTTAATTTTTCTTTCCAAATGTTTCACTTGTTTAATTCTTTGTTTTCTTAAATTATAAGCTTCTTTCATACTTAACCCTCTTGCAACCACCTTTTTGTTGTTGCTGTTGTTAGTCACGAAAACATGTCTGACCATTTGCAACCCCACGAACAACATTTCTTCAGGCCTTCCTGTCCTCCACCATCCCCCAGAGTCCACTTAAGCTCACACCAACTGCTTCAGTGACTCCATCTAGCAACCTCATCCTCTGCCGTCCCCTTCGTCTTTTGCCATCTATTGTTCCCAGCATTAAGCTCTTCTCCAGTGAGTCCTTCCTTCTCAATAGGTGGCCAAAGTATTTGAGTTTCATCTTCACTATCTGGCCTTCTAAAGAACAGTCAGGGTTGATCTCCTCTAGGACCGACCGGTTTGATCGCCTTGCGGTCCAAGAGACTCGCAAGAGTCTCCTCTAGCACCACAATTCAAAGGCCTCAATTCTTCGGCGCTCAGCTTTCCTTATGGTCCAGCTTTCACAGCCGTACATTGCAACTGGGAAAAGCATAGCCTTGACTATACACACTTTTGTTGGCAGGGTGATGCGTCTGCTTTTTACTATGCTGTCTAGATTTGCCATAGCTTTCCTCCCCAGGAGGAAGTGTCTTTTAATTTCTTGGCTGCAGTCCCCAACTGTGGTTATCTTGAAGCCCAAGAAAATAAAATCTGTCACTACCTCCATTTCTTCCCCATCTATTTCCAAGGAAGTGATAGGACTGGATGCCATGATCATAGTTTTCTTGATGTTTAGTTTCAAGCCAACTTTTGCACTCTCCTCTTTCACCCATATCAAGAGGCTCTTTAGTTCCTCTTCACTTTCTGCCATGAGAGTGATATCATCTGCATATCTGAGGTTGTTGATATTTCTCCCAGCAATCTTAATTCCAACTGGTGATTCATCTAGCCCCGCCCTTCTCATGATGTGCTCTGCATATAAGTTAAGTAGGCTGGGTGACCGTATACAGGCTTGCCGAACTCCTTCCTCAATTTTGAACCAATCAGTGGTTCCATGTCCAGTTCTCACTGTTGCTTCTTGACCCACATATAGGTTTCTCAAGAGACAAATAAGATGGTCTGTACTCCCATCTTGCCACAATTTGTTGTGATCCACACGATCAAAGGCTTTAAGCATAGTCAATGAGGCAGAAGTAGAAGTTTCTCTGGAACTCCCTAGCTCCCTATGATCCAGCATATGTTGGCAATTTGATCTCTAGTTCCTCTCCCTCTTCGGAATCCTGTCTGTACTTCTGGTAGTTCTCGGTCCACATACTGCTGGAGCATAGATTATAGGATTTCGAGCATAACTTTGCTAGCATGTGAAATGAGTGCAATGGTGAGGTAGTTTGAACATTCTTTGGCATTGCCCTTCTTTGGATGGGAATGTAAACTGTCCTTTTCCAATCCCGTGGCCACTGTTGAGTTTTCCAAATTCACTGGCATATTGAGTGTAGCACTTTACTGCATTGTCTTTTAAGATTTTGAATAGCTCAGCTGGAATACTGTCACCTCCACTAGCTTTGTTGTTGCTCAGACTTCCTAAGGTCCATTTGACTTCACATTCCAGGATGTCTGGCTCGAGGTCAGTGACCACCCCATCGTGGCTATCAGGGACGTTAAG